GCGCCAAGGCCTTTGTGGGAGGTTGCCCCAACGATTGCGGGAGCTCTGCCGGGACTCAGGAGGAGTCATGGAGGCAGGGAACTGAGTGGTAAACCCTTGACTCCCTCTACAAATCAACTATAACCCCTACCTGTACATCTTTCTATGATTTGACTGAGTGTACTGCGTGACTCCTGTACTCTGATTTTGGTTTGACTGTCAAGACTTAAGTCAGACGGAAATAAAAGAGTGTGTGTGCAATCTCAGTTTCAGGTTTGTTGATTGCCTGAAACCAGACTATGAATGAGATGGGTGCATCTGGGGAAAGGTTGGGAAGAAGGCAATATTGTGTGTAGCTTGACTGGGTCATTAAGGCAGGGAGGTCCCCTTAAGTTTGGGGAAGCCCGACGCTCTGTTTATTTTTGGTTTGCATGGAGCCTCAGGCCGCTCTATAAGTTTAGGTAGCCTGAAGCTCTAGAGGCTGGGATGTCCCCATAAGTTTGGGGAGACCTGGTGCTGTGAATTGCATGAAGGGTCATGACGCTCTATAAGTTTAGGTGTCCTGACTGCTCTGACTTGTAAGGGTTTGACTCTGGGTGACTTTCAGGGACCCAAGTCGCTCTATAAGTTTAGGTACCTTGGGTTGCCTCGTTTTATTTGGTGTTCCCTCAGTTTCTTTAGTTTTGAACAAGGAGGTCTGAACCGCTCTATAAGTTTAGGTGGTTCAACCCTTCTTATGTCTTGTTTTGAGGGGGTAATTCTGGCAGGGGACAGGCCGCTCTATAAGTTTAGGTAGTCTGTCCCACTGCCTCGGACAGATTGGATCAGAGAAAAAATGAACCTGGTCAAGGATCGGGCCGCTCTATAAGTTTAGGTAGCCTGGTCCAATGCCTCGCACATGTTGAAACCCAACGGATATAACTTGGTTATATTGTATTACTATGTTATTACGAACAGGCTGGTCAGGCCGCTCTATAAGTTTAGGTAGCCTGACTATAGCGTATCATAACTGAAGAGGATACAACTAAAGAGATATAATTGAACGTAAACTTGGGCAGGCTGAGCAGTGTTCTAAGTTGAGCGGCTCAGCCTTATGTCCCCTTTGAAGACTAAGTTCAGAGAGGTATATAGAAGTTGGCTATTTAAACAATTCGGGGCGACTAGAGTGGTCTACTCATATGCCCAAAGAAGAGAGAAGTAGTTGTGCCCCCTGTTTGTGTATATTTGGCCGAGTCAGAACGCTTTATAAGTTAAGGTCTTCTGACTTTAGGCCTGGCTAAGTTGGGTGCACTCTGTAAGTTCAGGTGCCATGACCTATGCCTTATGTAAGTTGGGTATGAGGGGATAACTCACTGAGAGATTATGAACTATTGTTTGTTTAAATTGACTTGGGAGTGGTGAGAGTACTTACCTTTGTGGTTTGGCATGCATTGTTTGTTTAAATTGGCTTGGGAGTGGTGAGAGTACTTACGTTTGTGGTTTGGCATGCATGTGGCTGAGGGAGATTACTACTTGGTCTGGGATTCAGGTTGACAGGTAGTTGCTTTAGAGGCTCGCCACGTGCTAGAGCAATAGGAGTTAGGTCAACTCCTACATTTTCTGAGCCGACTTTATTTTACTTAGATCAATTCTTGCATTTTCTGGAATCTTTTGTTATACTTGGCTTTGTATAAATCTTGGCAAACTACTTTCTCTACGGGAAGCACTGCCGAAATTTTCACGAATCCAAGGAATTAGTCAACGCTTGACTTGTCAAAGTTCAACTTATCTATTCTTTATATCCGACTTAGTAGAAATTTGGAAAGTTTCCTTTTCTAAAGGAAGTGCTGCCGAAAATTTTGCTAATTTGGGGAGTTAGACACAATTGGACTTTGAGAAGTCAGAGTTATTTTCAGATTCTGAACTTAGCCTTGTATAAATTTTGGAATGACACTTTTCTAAAGGGAGTGCTGCCGAAATTTCTCCAAAACTAAGGAGTTTGGTCAAATCTTGTCTAAGTTGAACTCAAGTTGCCTAGTGAGTTCATATTTGACCTAGTATAAATCTGGGAAGTCTCCCTTTCTAAAGGGAGTGCTGTCCAAATTTTTACTAATTCAGGGAGTTGGACAAAATTTGACTTTCCAGAGTTGGAGATTATTTCTGTTTTTATATTTGGGCTGATATAAACTTTGGAAAGTCACTTTTCTTACGGGAAGCGCTGCCGAAATTTTTTTAATTTAGAGGAGTTAGATTATATTTTGACAGGTGGCGATTCATGCAGTCCACCCTGAATAGGGGAAATTATGTCGGGGTCTACCTTTGCTTTGGGCACGACTTATGGGTAGGTTGAGGCTTAGTTAATTAAGGTGATTTCAGTGGAATCGTGATATGGGGATTATTCTCCATGGACTTATAGGTTTARCCTGGGGATTGACCTGTCTTGTGTTACAGGTCATCTTGATCGAGTTGATTCAGGATTTGGATTAGTTCCGGCTCGATCCTACGAGGGTCGTCTTCTGTTATCACTGATAACAGGTCGGTCGCCGATTCGTCGGTCTTCGACTCAATTCCAGCTCGCCCTCCATATTCAACCTAAAAGGCTTAGGCCCTGGTGGTTTTACTGTTTGTTAAGGGTTTCACCCGGACTTTTATTGAATGGCCATTTGACAAAGGTACTGAGTATTTAATCGAGGTTGGTTGGGACGGCGATTGGGGCTTGCATGGCTAAAGCAAAGAGGTATGAGCATAGAGAATGATTGGGGTTGACTTCGTGTAGTGCGTGTTTTGTCGCTTGATTCTTGGTGGGGTTGCAGGTATGTCCTGTGGCTCGGATTCTGGATTTGGACTGCCTTCGATTCCATAACACATATACATGGTTGTGAGGAATCCCACTGTGCCTGTGAGAAGTGATCGTCATAACTCTATCTCCTTTTGCATGTATGCGTGGGTATACGTACGATGGGTATTCGAGGGGCCCAAAGGGCCATGTTAATAACCGTATGGAAATTGGGATTGAGAGACAGGGAAAACCCTCCCTTCTGCCTATTTGCGTCTCGAGGCTTTCCTAGTCGGACGTTGGTCCTGGGCTGGGATTCGAGGTCCTTGTCCAGGACATCCCAAGCCCTAGGCACTGAAGAGGAGGAGCCTCCCCTTGCATAGAGTCTATTTACTTTGACCGGCGGGACACTCCACCTGAAACGCGGGAACGTCGCGAGGGCCGAACGACGTGTCCTTCAGCCATCCAATATCGTGAGGGGTAACCCCTCGCAATGAGTTCTTCAGCCATTCAATATCGCGAGGCCTAAGCCGCGGTTACCACATATGATTGGCATCAGTGGTTGGCATAGGGTTGGCCTACGGCCACACAGTTTTATATCAGAGCCATGCATGCAACTTCTCGCTGCCCCGACGTCTAAAAGTTATCGGACTGCCGGGCTCGCGCGTAGGCGCAGCGCCTGGGATTATTATAGGCCGCCGGCACCGCCCACAGAAGGGAAGTGTGTTCCAAGGCCATGAGTTTTTGTTTTAAGGGCCAAAAGACCTTTGCCCTATCCCCCCTTCTTGGGTTCGTGCGAGTTTTGTTGCTTCCTAGACATTTTTATGGTTGGACGTTGTAGTCCGTGGCAGCCGTCAACGTGAAACCCCTTGACTTTCGCCCAGGCCCCAGGGAGGACTCACCCCTAGGGCCGCGAGAGACGACTACCACCACAGACATGGGCCTGTGTACCACCTACTCTGCATAAGGGTGCAGAAGAGGGTGTGTGGTCCTCAACCGCGCATGGCGGTTGTCCAGCGTCGAGAGATTAACCCTGAAGGCGCATTTCAGCCAACACTTGGGTGTCGAATGCGACCCTCGAGATTAACGAGGACCGCGTGAGTATGGGTATTACACAGTACGCCATCACTGCGACCGCTTGTGTACGCTTGCATTGCGAGTCGACATGAGTTAGCTCTGCCTCCGCGGGATTTTTATATCAAGTCTCGCGCGTGACGCCCATTTGATTTCCGTATCGAAAAGTTATGGGATGGCTACTGAGGGGCTAGGAGCGTTGTCGCGTTGTTTGTGTCGCATTGTTCGTGTGGTGTCGTTTCGTGCGTATGTGTGTGTGTGTTTTATTTWGGTGTTCGTAGAGTGGTGTGCACGTGGTGCGTGAGATCCGTCCTAGTAGACCGACGTCGAGCCGCGCTTGGGACTTCAGCCCCCCAAGATGTCGGTTCGCGTGCGGGTCCGATAGGCGTATTACCGCGCGTACCCCCTATGCTACAGCGAACGAGAAACGCCCTCGGCTGCGAACGAGAAACGCCCTCGGCTGCGAACGAGAAACGCCCTCGGCTGTACCCCCTATGCTACAGCGAACGAGAAACGCTCTCGGCTAGTCCACCTCTGCAATTGCAACCGAGTAGCTTTCGTATTGTGGACTGGTAGCTCGGCGGAGATATGCCCACCGAAGGGAGGTGACAGCTCCCGTAAGGTGGAGGTAAGTTGTGCCTCGCGTAGGCCCTATCCTGTCGTAGGGGCTCGCGAGAGGTATGGCTGGCGCACTCGGCCGGAGCGGCCTAAGGAAGCTCCTTTTGTG